TTTTGCAACTTTAAGACTTGTGGACTTCAACTCCCAAAATTCTGGCTGACTGGGGAATTCTGGGAGTTGAAGTCTTTAAATGTCTGCGGAGACACTCAGTCATCCAGGTCATGGTTGTCCCCAAAAGTGCTTTTTCAAAAGGCAACTGGGCTTTCTTTGTTTTTCCTTGAAGAGGTTTCGCTTCTCCTCCAAGAAGCTTCTTCAGTTCTGACTGAATGGCGGAGGAATAAATCCTTCCATCCTCCGCCATTTAGTCAGAACTGAAGAAGCTTCTTGGAGGAGAAGCGAAACGTCTTCAAGAAAGTCCAGTTGCCTTTTGAAATTTGGCACAAGTCTTAACCTTGCCAAGGTGGGAGATCCCTTCCGTATTGTAAATGAAAACACACAACTTGTACTTTCGCTGACGCACCAACGTGTGCCTCCCTGCTGACCGTGTTCCCAACACCGCAGCCCTCCTGACCCATGCAATACAGGTCGTCCTCAATGTACGACCATAATTGAGCCCAAAAATTTCTGTGGTTAAATGAGACATGTCTTAAGGGAATTCTGCCCCATTTTGCGACATTTCTCACCACGGTCGTTAAGTGAATCACTGCAGCTGATAAGTTTGTTCAGTGAATCTGGCTTCTCCGTTGACTTTGCTTGTCAGAAGGTCACAAGAGGGGATCGCATCAGAGGTGGGTTTCAGCAGGTTCGGGCTGGTTCTGGAGAACCGGTAGCGGAAATTATGAGTAGTTCGGAGAACCGGTAAATACCACTTCTGACTGGCCCCGCCCCCATCTATTCTCTGCCTCCCGAGTCCCAGCTGATTGGGAGGAAATGGGGATTTTGCAGTAACCTTCCCCTGGAGTGGGGTGGGAATGGAGATTTTATAGTATCTTTCCCCTGCCACGCCCATCAAGCCACACCCACCAAGCCATGCCACGCCCACAAAACCAGTAGTAAAAAAAAAATTGAAACCCACCACTGGATCACATGACCCCGGGACGCTGTAACGGTCATAAGTATGAACCAGTTGCCAAGCCGCTGTGACCGTGGGGATGCTGCAACAGTTGTAACTGTGAAAAACGGTCATAAGTCACTTTTTTCAGTGCCGTTGTAATTTTGAACGGTCACTAAATGAATTATTGTAAGTTGAGGACAACCTCTATACGGGTCCTCCATGGAAGACAAGCTGGTTGCAATTGTTTTTCCTGCAGGTCTAACTATCCGTTGGAATCTCTACTTGTCCCGTTTGGTGGCTGTACCAAACCGGACTCTCTGCTATTCTTCATATAGTTACAAACATGTCACTGATTTACCTCATAAAATCCTAGTAGTTGAATAAATATATACTATACAAAATTGAAGCCATGGTTACGAAAATCCGCCAAGCAGAACTGAGGCGTTTTCAAAATCCGACAGCGAATCATCAAGGCATTTATGAAGTGATAATACAACTCCAAGCCCACCTATAAAAAGCCGACGTTCGGCAGTTACCATAAATTAACTTTTTTGCCTCTTGCAATTATTTCTGCATGCCAAGAACGATCTCCAAGAAACTGTAATAAAGATTTGAGCAATCCGATGCAGTTCTAGTTGATTTTATTTTATTTTATAGCTTGTTTTTTTGTTTTGCCTTATTACAGGAAAGGATCTTATCATGGATTGTTTCGCGTGAATGCAGATACATAGACACATCGTGCACACATTATGCTTTGAACTGGGGCAGGAAAACAAATAAGCGGGTTTCCAATGCCAACTTACACAAGGGTGGTGTTGTGTAGAGCTGGCAGCGGAGTCGGACAGTGAGGCGGCTGGGGAGGAACATGGGCCAGTCCTGGAGTCTGGGGAAGGCCCGGACGAGGGCTCTGCGTCGGAGGCAGAGATGGAGCCAGGGCCATCTGGGAGTGATGCGTGGACTCCGGAGCCTCCAGAGTCAGACAGCAGAGAGGCAGAGGAACAGGAGGAGCCTGTTCCTAGTGCGCGCATGCGCAGAGCTGCCAGAAGGCATGAACAGTTAAAACAAAAGGGACAACTCGGGAGTAAGGCTTTGAGATGATTGGCCCCTTCCATAAGGCTTAAAAGAGGAACAGAGGCATGTAGATCCTTTGCAGGAAAGCAACATTGTTAATTCTGTTCCCAGTCGGCATCTCTGTTTGATTCTGGACTCCGTGTGGCTTTGCCAAGTAGGTCTTTGGCAGCGTGTCAAGGGAGATAAAGGTTGGTGATTATCCCGAAGGACTTCTCCCAAAGGACTTTTTGCAACTAATTGGGACTCAGCTGTGAATGAACGTAATTCACAGCTGTTGCAATAAAAGAGGCTTTTGGGACTACTTGTGTGTTTTAATGACTCAGGAAGCCTAGGTCACAACAGGTGTGTTGAGCTGTGTCCTTTCCCTGTTCATCATCATCATTTTAGCCACTGGCTCTTCACTGCAGGATGAAGGCTTCTTCCCCAAGTTTCCAACCAATACCGTCCTAAAGTTTTCTTTTGCCAATTGGGTCTGCCATACTTGCAGATGTCGTCAATCCATCTTGATTTAGGTCTCTTTCGTGGATGCTTTTGATCAAGTGGGATCCATTCTATGACTGCCTTGGTCCACCTGCCCTCTGTGCTTCTTGCTATGTGACTAGCCCGTTTTCCATTTCCATTTTTTTTTTTTTTACTCTCTTGATGGCATTGTATATTTTCGTTTCTTCTCTAATCCATGTGGGAGTCTTTCTATCTTGTCTTGTGACGGCATCTTTCCATGGCTCCTTTGTTCCACTTGTTGCGTTTGTATCGATTGTGATACATGTTTCACTAGCATATGTTTAGAACAGGTAGTGCACACCAGTGGTGAAATCTAAAATTTGTTACTACCGGTTCTGTGGGCGTGGCTTGGTGGGTGGGTGTAATGTGACTGGGTGGGTGTGGCCAATTTTTTTTTTTTTACTTTTAAAACCATTTTTTCTACAACCTCTTCGGTGAAGGGGTTGTAAAAAATGCTTTCAAAAGGCTGTGACGATCCCAGCTGAGTTGCCTGATTGGCAGAGGCTTTTTTTCTTTTAAAAGCCTCTGACGATCAGGCAATTCAGCTTGGATCGTCAGAGGCTTTTAAAAGAAAAAAAGCCTCTGCCAATCAGGCAACTCAGCTGAGATCGTCAAAGGTTGACGAAGAGGTTGAAGAGGTTGTAGAAAAAATGGTTTTAAAAGCCTTTGACAATCCCAGCTGAGCCGCACGATCATCAGAGGCTTTTTAAAAAAACTTTTAAAAGCATTTTTTCGGCCAAAGAGGTTGTAGAATTTTTTTTTATTTTTTTTTAAAAAAGTCTCTGATGATTGAGCGGCTCAGCTGGGCATGGGGGGAGGGCAGGGATTTTTGCTACCGGTTCTGTGAACCACCCGCCTCCATCTCTACCAGATCAGGCGATCCGGTACAAACCGGGAGCATTTCACCCCGGCGCACACTGATTGAAAAGTTTTTTCTTCAGGCACAGGGGGAGGTTCTTGAAAATTATGCTGCCTTTGCCGAATGCCTGCAAGTGCCACATTTAACATGCTGTTCAATTTCCTTTATTGTATCATCTTCCATTGAGATCCGTTGGCCAAGGTATATGTCAGGGCTGTCAAACTTAAGGCCCGGGAGCCGGATGCGGCCTACGGGGTGCTTAGATCTGGTCCGCGGGGCCACCCTAGAAACAGCGAAGAATCGGCCCAAGCAGCCTTCCCGAGTTCTGTTTTCACTGGCAGAGGGTTGCAGGAGGCTGTCACAGCCGAAAATGGAGCTTGTGAGGGCCGCCTGCAGCCCTCCTGAGTTCCATTTTCACTGGCAGAGGGTGGCAAGAGACCGTTGCAGCTGAAAACGGAGCTCGGGAGCCCGTTTTTGCTGGCAGAGCACTCGGGCCGCCACAGGGGCCCCCAACACGAGTGACGTCGAGCTGACCACGCCCCCCACCTCAAAGTGAAACGCAATCTTGATGCGGCCCACAATGAAATCGAGTTTGACACCCCTGGTATGTGTAGTGGTCTACTACATCTAGTTCTCCAGATATAAAAAAACTACATGGAAAACCACCAACGAACAGCGATGCAATTATAATATTCCCTCCTTTTGTTTTAAAAATAGACTCGTGAGGCAATTGTGTGTTGGCTGTGAATCGATGTTTACGTTCCGTCCTCAGGCAAATTGACTGAAACCTAACTTTTGTTTTTATTTTTACAAAAAAAATCCTAACTCTCATTAGCATGAAACAACATTATTAGAAGCAGTGTGCGGCGGTAGCCAAAAAAGCCAATGCAATCCTAAATTGCATTAACAGAAGGATACAATCAAGATCAAGGGAGGCACTAATACCACTCTATAAAGCCTTAGTAAGGCCACACCTAGAGTACTGCACCCAGATTTGGTCACCACACTTTAAAAAAGATGTTGAGACTGTAGAACAGGGGCGTCAAACTCAATTTCATTGAGGGACACATCAGGGTTGTATTTGTCCTTCGGGGGGAGGAACATACAATGAATGGTTGCAGGATCTGGGCATGGCTAGTCTAGTGAAGAGAAGGACCAGGGGAGACATGATAGCAGTCTTCCAATATTTAAGGGGCTGCCACAGCGAGGAGGGGTCAAGTTATTTTCCAAAGCACCCAAAGGCCAGACAAGGAATAATGGATGGAAACTGAACAAGGAGAGATTCAACCTGGCAATGAGGAGAAATTTTCTTGACAGTGAGAAACATCGACCAATGGAACAGAAGTTGCCTTCAGAAGTTGTGGGAGCTTCATCACTGGAGGCTTTCAAGAAGAGACTGGACTGCCATTTGTCAGAAATGGTCTAGGGTCTCCTGCTTGGGTGGGGGGTTGGACTAGATGACCTACAAGGTCCCTTCCAATTCTGTTAATCTGTTAAATCTGAAGCACATTTGCGAGCAAAGAAGCTTGGAAGTCCATTTCAGAACATTGTTTTATATAATTGGATCGAAACTAAATTACTTCCCCCCTCCCACTTAATAACCATCTTTATTTATGTATTTTGCAGGAATGACCAGTTCTCACCTAAAAGCAGACCAGGCTTTGCTCCATAGTAAGAATGAATGTTCTGCTTCGGCGGCAGTGACGCGTCGGAAACCAGCAGCTCTCAACGGCATTGCCGCGTCTTCAACACCAATCTTATCACTCTTACCTTCTCCAACAGCAGCAGAAACAGGTAACTGTCTCCCCCATCATTTTTTCCCAACTTTGCTCCCGGAAACACCTTGAAAAAAATTCAAGCCGCGAAGTACGCCGATTCTTACAAATGATGAACATTTTTTAAAAAAATTTGATTTATATGCCGCCCTTCTCCGGAGACTCAGGGCGGCTTACAATGTGCTAAGCAATAGCCTTCATACTTTTGTATATTTATACAAAGTCAGCTTATTGCCCCCACAACTGGGTCCTCAATTTACCTACCTTAGAAAGGATGGAAGGCTGAGTCAACCTTGAGCCTTGGCGAGATTCGAACCTGCAGTAATTGCAGGCATTTTGAAGATCAAAATGTTATTTATAGGTTATTTATATATGGACAGAGTGGTTGGCTCTTGGTACACCACGTTTGTAAATCTTGCAGTGCATCAACAATCTATTGTCAATCTTGAGCGAAGTACAGGTAGTTCTCAACTTGTTATGATATGACACGGTAGCAGGATTCCGATATTTGAGGTGCTGCCACAGAGAAGGTCAACCTATTTTCCAAGGCACCCAAAGGCCAGAAAAGGAATAATGGATGGAAACTGATCAAGGAGAGATTCAATCTAGAAATAAGGAGAAATTTTCTGACAGAACAATCAACGAATGGAACAGAAGTTGCCTCCAGAAGCTGTGGGAGCTCCATCACTGGAAGCTTTCAAGAAGAGACTGGACAGCTATCTGTCATCAATCGTGTAGGGTCTACAGCTTGAAGAGGGGGTTGGACTAGATGACCTGCCAGGTCCCTTCCAACTCTGTTATTCTATTCTAACTTATGAAATCATCTTTTAAGAAAATAGAAGGGTTGACGGAAGACAATATTAAGTACACTTAGCCTTCAATTTGCAACAGGTTCATCTACTGACCATTGAAAGTTACTGAAAAAAATGAGCATGTTTCAAACTTACGACAAATTGCTGCATCCCCACGGGTTACGTGATCAAAATTCAAAGACTTGCCGACTGACTCATATTTATGACGGTTGAGTGTCCGGGGATCATTTGATCAGCTTTTCAAGCTGATTCTTAACAAACGATGAATGTTTTGAAGATAACCTTTTAAGAAAATAGAAGAGTTGCTGGAAGACAAAATTAAGCACAGGTAGACCTCAACTTACAATCGGTTCATTTAGTGACCATTAAAAGTTACTTGGGAAAAAAGTGACTTGTGAGCATTTTTCACATTTCCCCAGGGTCACAGGATCAAAATTCAAAGACTTGGCAACTGACTCGTATTTATGACAGTTGCAGTGTCCCAGAGTCACATTTTGCAACCTTCTGACAAGCAAAGTCAATGGGGAAGCTGGATTCACTTAACAACCATGTTAGTAACTTAACAACTGCAGTGATTCCTGGTGTTTTCCTAGTGTTTTCTCTCATGCTTTATAAGAGAAGAGTTATTTTTTTCTAGAAGCCAGTCTATCTTGCAGGATTTCTTCTGAACAGATGCCATCGTTAGGATTAAATTCTCCCATCGCAACTACCTGGTTGTAAGATCTGCTGTTAATTTCTGAACGGTTTCATCCACCTTTCTGTGACTGGGCGCTCAGAAGATATGAAACACCGTACGGCTCTTAATGCCATTATTCACTTATTTATCCAGATGTTTTCACCGTCAGGTTTAATTTGCTTCGATTTCTGAGCAGGTGTTGGTGGGCTTCACATCTAAGGACGTGTTTCTATTGCGTCTTTTCTGTTTTTGTAGGAGTCGTTTTCTTCAGATGCTCTAATTCCAGTCATTCCACTGGATACGACTTAACGACCACCATTCAGCCCAAAATGTATGTTGCTAAGTGAGATGGTTGCTAAGTGAATTTTGTCCCATTTTATGACCTTTCTTGCCACGGTTGCTAAAGATTGGGGCCTAGATTAAGAACTCTGGCAACAAAGGTCGTAAAATCGGGCAAAATGCACTTCCAGTTACCAGTGGTGGGATTCAGCCAGTTCAGGCAAACCGGTAATTAAATTGCTGGATGGCCCCGCCTCGTCCCTTCCAGGAGTCCCCACGCGCCCCATTTTGGCTCCCAGGTAAATGCAGGGAGGCCTACTAGGCCCAAAATGGGGCATGAGAGAGCATTGCTTAACGCACTGTAAGCCGCCCTGAGTCTCCGGAGAAGGGCGGCATATAAATCAAATTTAAAAAAAAAAAAAAAATTGCAGTGCCTAAGTTAGTCCCTAAGTTATTTTAATGACCTGCACGGTCATTTTTTTTTATTTATTTATATTTATTTTATTTATATTTATATATTTAAAAAAAATTATATTTTTTTTTATTTATATATTTTATTTTTTATATTTATATTTATATAATTTATTTATATTTTTTTTATTTATATTTAAAGACTGCATTGGGGAAAGCAGGCATTATTGACCTGCATGGTTGCAGGCTCCATTACGGTCGTAGGTTGAGGACTAAGTGTTAGCGCTAGGTTTCCCCCACTCGTGAGGCACCCTGCATGGTCACTTAACGACCGCATTGGGAATGGTGGGAACAGGGAGGTCATTAAGTAAGGGAATCACATGGTCACCTTCCTTAATGACTGTCACGACTTGCAACCGTAATGGGTAGGCTCCCTTACGGACATAGGTTGAGGACTACCTGTTAGCGCTAGATTTCCCAGGGCCTCCCCCATCCCTCAGGTACCGTGTGCTCCACTAAACGACCCATGTGGCCGCTTAACGACCATGTTGGGGAGAGCAGGGATGGAGCTGTTAAGTGAATCGATAACATGGTCACCTTATTTAATGGCCGTCATGACTTGTGACCTCAATGGGCAGGCTCCATAGTCATAGGCTGAGGCCAACTTGTGTTAGAAAATATTCCTTCAACCTTTTAATCCCCCGTATAGCGAAAGGACATGAAATGAAGACCAGATATCATACCTAACTCCTTATTTTCAGCAAGAATACTCTGTGAGCCCTTGATGCAAATTAAAATAAGAAGTTCCTCTGGAACTTATTCAGAAATTGATTGCAAACAGACCTTCTCCCAGTGTTTATCTGCACACACATTAAGAAGGGCCTCTTCACGTTTTACTACAGGGAGGGACGTGCCCCGCATGGATGAGAAAGAGAGTTGTGTGTTGAGTATCTTATATTTTGGAATGTCTTCTCCTGAAGGCCAGATTAGAGCCAGACTGGCTTCTGTTAATGTCATTATATTTTTTATTTTATTCATTTTTATTTTATTTATTTGTAACCCACCTTTAGTATTTTTACAAGGCGGCAAACATCCAACACATTTTCCTTCTCCTGTTTTCCCTACAACAATAACAATGTGTGGTGGGTTGGGCTAAGAGAAAGAGGGACTGGCCCAAAGTCTTCCAACTGGCTTTCATGGCTAAGGTGGGATTACAACTCTCGTATGCCTGGTGATTGGCTCAAATTTTCAGCTGGCTTTCATAGCTAAGACGGGACTAGAACTCTCGCACTCCTGGTGATTGGCTCAGAGTCTTCCAGCTGGCTTTCATGGCTAAGGCAGGACTAGAACTCTCGTATGCCTGGTGATTGGCTCAAAGTCTTCAGCTGACTTTCATAGCTAAGACGGGACTAGAACTCTCGCACTCCTGGTGATTGGCTCAGAGTCTTCCAGCTGGCTTTCATGGCTAAGGCGGGACTAGAACTCTCATACTCTGGTGATTGGCCAAAGTCTTCCAACTGGCTTTCGTGGGGCTAAGGGGGACTAGAACTCTCGTATCCTGGTGATTGGCTCAAAGTCTTCAGCTGACTTTCATGGCTAAGGCGGGACTAGAATTCTCGCACTCCTGGTGATTGGCCCAAAGTCTTCCAGCTGGCTTTCGTGGCTAAGGCAGGACTAGAACTCTCATACGCCTGGTGATTGGCTCAAAGTCTTCAGCTGACTTTCATGGCTAAGGCGGGACTAGAACTCTCGCACTCCTGGTGATTGGCCCAAAGTCACCCAGCTAGCTTTCAGTGCTAAGACAGGACTTAGAACCAGGGGTGAAATCTACTTACCTTCCCTATTGGTTCAGAAGCGCGTGTACCGCGTGCACGTCACGTGCGATTTTAGACCCTCTGTGCATGCACAAAGCCTTCTGCACATGCGCAGAGGTTAAAACCAGGAAGTAATGACATCCGGGCGGGTGGGCGGAACCTCGAGCTGCCACCGCTCGAACTGCCACCGTCATTACCAGTTCTCCGAACTACCCGCTACCAGTTCGCCCAAACTGTGTGAATCGGTAGCACTTCACCCCTGACTAGAACTCACAGTCTCCAGTTTCTGGTGCCTTAACCACTAGAGCAAATTGGCTCCCCTTACTATTCTGCATTTAAATTATTATTATTATTATTCTTTTTGGCTGGCTAGCTTGGGGTCGATGTTACCGCTTTGACTTTGCATGTTTAATAGATTCTGTACTGACTTGAAATCTTGTGGCAGGCTATAAATAATTTAAAGGGCTCTGATATAAATAAATTAGTCTTAAGACTCGATGATCTGAATCAGTTAGCCTTAGGAAGGGCAAAAAGCGTTTGGATTGCAAAAACCAATTCCTTCGAAAGAACTTGAACTCCAGAATGTTAGAAAATAAAAACGAAATTTCTCTGTCAGATTCTCATTCATGGTCTCATCGTCCTAAGATACAATTTATTGCCAATATATAAGCGTCGATGACAATGATTTTAAATGTATCTTCCCCAATAATTCCAAAATTCTATTTATTTTCCTTTTTTCCGTGCCATTTCCCATATTGTCAACATTTGCTCATGAATTTCAGCTTCAGTAAAGGTTTACTTTGGTCTGCGTTAATCATAATCCATCAGGTATTTTTGCAGGATGCCATGTTGGCAAGCAATTGTTCCCCATCTTGGTTGACTCTGACCTCTCTCTCTCTCTTCTCTTGTCTTCTCCAGCCAGCTCAACCCTCAAGAAGAGATTCAAGCGCTGTGAAATCGAAGCAATCCAGTGTGAGGTACGCAAGATGTGCAACTACACCAAGATCCTCTCCACAAAGAAGAACCTGGACCACGTCAACAAAATCCTGAAAGCCAAACGGTTGCAGAGACAATCGAAAACGGGGAATAATTTTGTCAAGAAGAGGCGAGGCCGTCCACGGAAGCAGCCCCCTTCGTTCGATGAAGACTCCGGAGACCAAATGCCTGTGCTGGAGAAATGCGTGGACCTGCCTTACAAACGAGGTCAGCGCCTTCTCTTGAACTCTCTGATACTGGAACAGGCCAGCGGTCAAGATCCGGTGGCCGCCACCATTGAGGCGGTGGTCCACATGGCCCGAGAAACCACTCAGTCTCCCCTCCTCCCGGTCCCTCCGTCACGGACATCAAGAGCCGGAAAGCGGAAAAGCAAGTCGCAATCGCATCCAGAGGATGAGGAGGACGAAGTGAAAGGAAAAAGGCATCGGAAGAATAGAGGAACTGAGAATGAACACCTTCCCTAGTATCTGACACGGTCAACAAAAGACAGATGGGGAACGTTCAGCCAGTAGGCCGGAGCGGAAAAACTCTAGTTCACATCTTCTACAGCAGGGATCCCCAAACTTCGCAACTTTAAGACTTGTGGACTTCAATTCCCAGAATTCTCCAGCCAGCTATGAATTCTCCCAGAGAATTCTGGGAGTTGAAGTCCACAAGTCTTAAAGTTGTCAAGTTTGAAGATCTCTGTTCTACGGCATCAAAATTTGCTCTGTATTTCAGTAGCACAGCAGCCAAATTCATCCAGATGAATTTGATCACTCATCGTCCTCATCATCATCATCACCACCATAACAATAAGAACTCAACCGCGATGGGAACCCCTCGATTAATAACAGGGGAGAGAGGGTACGGAAGACGTTCTTCAAACTGAGTTTTGCTTTTTTTATGTTGTCGTTGTTTCGATAAGTCACCATTGTTCTTGTGTCTCCCAGAAGTCCCCAGAGGGTAGGAGAACATGGTGTCCTTACCAGTACGGTCAATATCTTTCTCAAATGATGGTCCTTGCCCCCTTTTTTTTTGGGTAGGTAACATTGAAATCACCAGCAACGTTTCTGGTCACTGCTGTGACAGCGAACGGGGAAAAATACGTCTTCCCTGCCTCACAGCTATTACCGTATTTTTCAGAGTATAAGATGTACCTTTTTCCCCCCTAAAAGGGGGTGAAAATTTAGGTGCGTCTTATACACCAAATGTAGCCCCGCCCACCCACTGTCCCCCACCCTTTGGCCTCTGCCTCGAAACAGTTACCTCCTTGCAAGCAAACAGCAAGAAAAAACAGCTCCTTTCAGCCTCAGCACAGGCTAATTAGCACAAGTTGATTGGATCGGCCTCCCGACTCTCAGCTGATTTGCTCTCAGCTGTTTTGCGCAGGGCTCTGCTGCTTGCTGCAAAGAGGTAAATTGCTGGAGCAGATTTTTTTTCCTTGTTGCTAATCAAGCTATGCTGAAAACGAAAATAAAAGTAAAGCAGGCTGTTTGCTGTTTTCTGCAACGAGGCAAAATTGCTTAGAGGCAGAGGGAGATTTCTTTTTCTTTTCCTCACCAAAAAAAATAGGTGCGTCTTATACTCCGGTGCGTCTTATACTCCGAAAAATACAGTAAATCACAAGAGTTCTTGCCCAGGAACCAAGATGCCAGGTTATATCCAAAAATCGCATCTCCCCCCCCCCCTTTTTTTTTTTTTTTCAAAAATAATTATTATAATGCAAATTCCTCAAATGTGCTTTTCCTTTCTAACAAGGTTTCATTGGGTCTGGGAAGAACATGAGAAGAAAATTTGTCTAGGCTGATGGTAACCAAACGTCTAACCCTAACCCAATCTGGAGAGATATTTGCCGCTAATTTTGAAGAAGTGTTCATTTTCTCTCTTTCCTAGAGGGCCCGATGAAAAGGAAATTTGGTTTTCAAAACGAGTCATGTAGGAAGAAAATAAGGAACCACGTAGGATAGATGAAGGAGTCCTTTTAAACGTGAAGAGCTTTTTGGTGGCCTCCCTCAAACAATTGCTGCCGAGTGGGTTGTGCATTTACAAAATGGCGCCATTGCTTGTCGCTTCATTTGAAAACTTCAGGTTTTTTACTGTCCCAACTGAGTGCTCCGACAGTCGACTGCCTGATAGAAGCAGGAATTTTCCAGCAGCTTCAGTTGGCTAGTAGATTTGCAGAAAATGGAGACCCACCAAGGTGTCTTCAAAAAAAAAAAAAAATCAAGATGGCGGTCACAACAATGCGATGCCTTTTTGCGCCTGCACACCACATCAGCGGATACACAAAATATGACCATGGTGTGACCCTGCTTCTTTTGATTCACCCGTGAATGCCCTTATAAGCTTATCGGCTAAATAAATAAAAATAAATAGGAATGTACAGTGATGCTATTTTCAAAAGGCAAATGAAACAGATCCAAGCTGGAAAAATAGAGGTTACTCAAAGCAAATTTCGTGCTAATTTTGAGAAGCATTTCTGCACGTTAGGTGTCCAGGGCTGGTTGGTTTTTTTGTTTTTTTTTTTCAATACAGTGGAAAAAATAAATAAATAGGAAAAGCCATTTTGAAGTAATAATTCAACCGGAAAAATCTAGCAGAGGAAAAAACCGTGTAAATTTCTCAACGCAGAATTTCTCAACGAAAATTTTAAAATGACCAAGTGTTCTTATCTTAAAAAAGAAATAATAATGTTTAAAAAATCTAGATGTTCAAAAAAATAATGTTTGAATTAAATGCCACTCTGGAGGTTTTTCCTTCCAAGGGGTGGTTGCCTTAATAAATTGAAAAATATTTGGGGTGGGGCTGTCCTGTATATAATGTAATTATAAAGACGAAGGGAGAAATCAAATCTGCATGGACCCCAACTTTTGTGTGACCCAGTTGTTGTTTTCTTTTTAAAATTGTCATTTCCAATTGACCAGATTGAATACAAAATCACCCTTTCTTTCACTGTGTCGTTGGCTTCGGTTTCTGAAGCAGATTTGATTCGCTAACTCAGTACGTTTGTTTGTGTTGTGTTGCATTAAGCAGCATATTTTTATATTATCCTTTTATGGCATTAATGATCCTTCCCCTGAAAAGAACAAAGAAAAACAAAACAAAGGAAGATAAAGGCAGTTGTTAATAACTTCCTTTCCGTTCCCCCATTAATTTTATAATAATCTTATTGGGCGGGGGGGAACCAAGTAGGGCATAATATATGCAATAAGCTAGACTGAAGAAGAGACTTTAGCAAAACAAAATAATAATAATGAAATAAGTCAAAGCAGTTGCTGAGTTTGGATTCAGTATGGGGGATAACATCTTCGGAATATTTAGAACCGAAAATTTCTCCTTCTTAAAATTCAATAGATAAATGAATAACCAGTTCTAACTGGTTATATAACCAGTTCTGACTGGAACAGTTACCCTGTTTCTAAGGTTGTTTCACTATTTTTGAAGCAGAAATCTATCTTTGCAACTATTAGCAAGGCCTCCTTGGACCAGAAGTATCCTATTTTTTTGATCAGACAAGATTCCTCGAGACTAGAAAGCCCAAAGGGAACGGAATCAGATCTAAAACTAAAACCAATCTCATTCCATTAAAATGTCTTGTTCAAATCTCCATTAAATAAATGCAGTTAAAATTATTTTCCGCCATATGGTTGTATGTCTAAGGTCGCATTTTTAAAAAAGAAGAAGTAACTTTTGGAAAAGTTTTGGAGGTTATACTGAAAGCAGAGAGTGTCTATGGCGATTCTCCGTCATCCAGGTCATGGATTGTCCCAAAGGCACTTTTTTCAAGAGGCAGCTCGACTTTGTTTGTTTTTCCTTGAAGACGTTTCGCTTCTCATTCAAGAAGCCTCTTCAGGTCTGAACTGATCTGTGGAGGTTTCTTGGATCAGAAGCGAAACGTCTTCAAGGAAAAACAGTCCAGTTGCCTCTTGAAAAAGCGCCTTTGAAAGCAGAGAGGTGCTCCTGATTTTGCATTGTGGCGTCTTTTAAAATGTCAAGGAAGACATCGATGCCAAACAGAGCTGGATTGGGTAACCTCAAAAGCTTCCTTCCACCCACCTCTGTGGTTCTAAGTGATGAAATGTCCTACAAACCACAGGGCCAACCTATCTTTCACTGCCCACATGCTCCACATCCTCTTTAGTGTATCTATTCCATCCATGATTTGACAATAATTCTCATAAGTCTTTCAAGGACACGTTTCATCAGCCCTAGCAATGTCAGCAACTGAGTTTTCATTCCCACATTGCCATAATCCTGGTAAATTTGGAACAGAGCCAAACTAGTATTTCATTGCTTAGTTTTCCCTACGTGGATGCTACCAAAATAGGCGTCTCAGAAGAATGTCATTTTTTTTAGTGAGATGGATGGATTGAGTGGGATTGCTCTCTACCTCTGCACCAAAGAAAATTGATGTGAACTAAACAATAGTGATGATAATTAAAACAAGAGGACAAGTAATACCTATAGTATGCCACAGCAATTGTAGACAAGGTACCCAAACAATGTAATGGAAGACCAAGAACAGGAAGAGCAATTTCTGCAAAGTCTTTTGAAGAAGTTGCAGTTCAAGTAAATCTACATTGAGGTTCCTGTCTTATACAAGCCAACATAGATTGTTGACCACAGATTGTAGACCTTCAAACAATTTACCATTTTAGTTTATCAAATCCCTTTTGGAGAAAATGACGGTAGCGCACATGAGGGAGAGCCACTGAAATAGCCACTACGAGTCTCCACGTAAAATTCTCTCCGTCTTTGAACTCAATGGTTTCTTAAAACTCATTTGAATTCTTTTAATTTAATTTTAGTTTTAATTTCTGGTTTTTTTCCTTTTCATTGCAACAAAAAGATTAATTCTTCAGTAGCAGAATGGGGTCTGTCAGTGATTTTGAACTTTTAAGATGTTGAGTTATAGGTGATTACTGTTTTCTTGGGGGTTTGATCACCAGGAAAGGGCCTCTCAAACCAATTTGTTTCTTTCACTAACATTTAATGGGTGAATTGTGTCTGATACCTCACTGCACATAACATGCTCATAGGTACACTTGTAATTTGTTCTCCTGACAATGATAGACACCTTCAGTGACTCAATTTACATATTGGTAAAGAATTGTTCAGTCATTGGAATGACCAGAGTTTCGCTTCCCTCAAAACGTAATAATTGATACATGTAAAATACGTTGCATCAAGTCCTATCAGAGATGCATTGAAGTTTAAAATTCTTGCATCCCTTTCAACTTCAAAATTTCCCAAAAAAACAAGTATATTTGAGGACTGGATGAAGAGAAACGGCCAGTTGTGTTTTATTTCTGGGGAACATTTAAAAACAATTGCCACAATTATTACAAATCACTGAGACTCGGCAGTTAAAAATACGTCCTCCCAAAAATGTAGGCATGAACACATAATGCAAATATAAAGTTGTCCTTTCAGGTTACCGCCCAGACGTAAACCCAATGAATAGGAAGGAGCGTTGTATTTCAAAAGGCCATCCTGATTTTTGAATCAATATTCATTCACGAGGCATCTTTATAAAATTACAAGAATCGTCTTAACCATTTCAATCTAGAGATACCCAGGACAAGTGAAGGATAAAATCCTTCCGTTTAATATTTTCATATCCCATTCAGTTTCCATAAAAAACAAAAAGAGTGTGACCGTTCTAACATCCTGAGGGAATCCATGGAGCCATTTTGAAGCCATTGGCTTTTATTTGGTACCATTGGGAAGAAATGCCAGAACTTAGCTTTCTAGGGTATTTGTCTTCTGAAAAGATGTCCAAATAAGTTATATCATAATAAACGGCAGTGCTGTGGGTCCTACTTTGGCTTTTTGGACTGAAGATGGTCACATGTGCTCGTTGATCAGCCTTGAGAAGAGTAAAATTAGGAGATGGACGTTATCTAAATAAAACAGCGTTGTTCAGTTTTGGTAACTAAGACCTGTGGACTTCAACTCCCAAAATTCTGGGAGTTGAAGTCCACAGATCTTAAAGTTACCAAAGATTGGACACCGCTGTGCTAAAAGCAAACTTGAGTTGTGAAGTGGCAGAACAAACGTGTGTTCTCTCGTGTCCAGCTACCAGTAGATTTGTTACACAAAGCCATAGAGAGAACCACAATAAAATCAAACATTAAATATAGATTGCTACAGATTTGATTTGGGAGCAGGGGTTTACCAATTCTTCATCTAAATACATTAGTCTGATTAAGAATGAGCTTTAGGAAAATCAGCCAAACCATCATTCAACAGGATAACCTGTATCAAACCATCCCACTAAAACCATAGTTTACCCATTTCAGCACCGAGGATGACAAGAATGCAGCAACTGTATTTTGTAATCTGAACTTTAGGGTTGAGCGCATTGAGTCAGTAATAAGCTTTTTTAAAAATGCAGATGCAGAGACCAGGGAGAGAGAGAAAAAATCATTTATTATGAGAGATTGAGCACCTAGACAATTTAGCTGAAGTTAAATTCACCGAACATAAAGGTAATTTCCTGCAGGGACACAATTAAAGGGATTATGGTATATATTTCTTTCCCTCCTGAGTTGGACAGTGGTGTTTTTTTTCTAGGGAATAGGTAATTAATCCATAAAATAATCCCTCCTCAGGGTTACAGTCTCAAACCCTCTTATCAACATCCTTCCAAAAAAAGGAGCAAAGAAATTTAAACCCAGCAGAACAAACCTTGGTATATAAACTGTTTGAATATATATAATTTGGCACCTGCTATTCTTTCAGCTCTTTGGATAAATATCTTGAGGATATGACATTCCCCTTTGAACTTCTTGTCGGAGTGATGCTTGGTTGCCACTTGTTAAATATAAATATATATAATTAGAGTAAGCACATCTTCCAGTTTAAGCTTCATAAATGCAATTTGTTTTTGCTAATATGTGAATTGCGGTATTCAGGGCAGGGGTGAAATCTACTTATCTTCCTTACCGGTTCGGAAGTGCTCGCATCGCGCATGCACAGAGGGTAAAAAACACATTACTTCCTGGTTAAAACCAGGAAGTAATGACACCTGGTGGGTGGAGCCTCACACCGCCATCGCTGCTGGTTCTCCGAATCACCTGCCACAATCGCTACTGGATCGCTTGATCCGGTCCGAACTGGGAGGATTTCACCCTCGATTCAGGGGTATCCCGCCTAAACTTTCAACAATTTAAATGCAAAGTTAACTGAGTTGCATCCCACCCCCCAAAAAATGCCAGAGGATTTAACTGACTTTCCTGTTTGTTATGTTAAGAGTAAGGGTGTCCAACCTTGGCAACTTTAAGACTCGTGGACTTCAACTCTCAGAATTCCTCAGACCAGCTGTGGCATTCAATTCTAGGAATTGAAATCCACGAGTCTTAAAGGACTTCAATTCCCAGAATCCCCCAGCCAGCCATGCTGGCTGAGGAATTCTGGGAGTTGAAGTCCGCAAGTCGTAAAGTTGTCGAGGCCGGACACCCCTGTGTTAAGAGTAATCATATTTGAAAAGTTGGTGTCTGTTTTTATTGACTTTTTCTCCGTTCAGATGGGTTAATCACAAGCACAGCAAATTTTTGGATCATGTTGTTAGCCAGCCAAGGAAACGTATTGGAAATATTCATAATAACCCTGCCAATTTATTACTAAAACAAGAAAATCTTCAGAAAATCCCACCGCCCTACTTTCAAATAGGAAATATATATATATGTATATATATATACATATATATATATATATATATACAATTAAGCAAAGGAGATTTGTTGACGTGGGGAGAAAAACACAAAAATCATGTGGATCGGTTATTTTTTTTAAGTGCTGTTTCTTAAATAATAATACTAAATGCACACGAAGTGTTAAATATGTATATACTGTATTTCAAAAACTTAAAATCCTACAAAATGAACGGGGCACAAGATTGTTTTACAAGTCGTGCTGGCTACTTTTTAGTTTGTAAGTGGTTTTTAAAAGCCTTTTTTAACGTGTAATTTGCATGTTCTACTTTGATTGTATGTAAACATATTTTAGAGCAAAAATGTATTTGTATTTTATTGAATATAGAGGCGAGACGGAAAAAAAAACTTGTACATTTGTTTGAAATGTTCTTTTTGTAACGGTTTTTATTCATGAAGCATTTTTGTACATTTAAAAAAAAACGGATACGGACTTTGTTGTTATTTGAAAGTTAGGTACATCTGGCATGCTAAAATGTCATGCTTTTTTCATAATTGTAGATGTTGGTTTTTAAACAATTTTTTTCTAAAAAGGAGCTCCAGTCTTCGCTACCAAATCAGGTTAGCCCAGTATAGAGCACTTAACTATTAAAAGGAAAAGAAAAAAGAAAAAAAAGAGAAAAAAAAAGTTAATCCTATTCATATGTTATTCATTGTGTGAAATTAAAGGAATTCAAATCAGTCTGTTAAGTTGTGAATTCTTTTGTCTTATTTTTCCATCTGGTTCACATCAGTTTTAATAGCTCTAACAGTAAAAATGCATATGGGCACCATGTCTTCTTTTTCTTTTTTCTTTTTGTGGTTGTGGATAAATCTGGTTTTCGGTTCTTTTCCTTTTATTTTCCTTTTGGGCCCTTAAAAAAAAAAAAAAAGACGAAATGTTTCTTCGGGCAAGAAAAAATGCTAGCGAGAAGTGTGGCGAAATTTAGAAAGAACACGGATCTTTCGCTGCTGTTCCCCAATCATTTTATCCGTCTTTCTACTCAATAAAGCACAATGGTTCGGGGTTGTTTGTTTTTTTTAAACTTTACAGCATTCCCGTTCTTCCCCAGAACAGCTCCTGCAAAACCAGTAACAAATTTGTAATTTGTTAACGCGCATTTGTAATTTCAGAGGCACGGCGCAAAAGGAAGCAGGATGAGGAGGGAAGAAGAAAACAGGAGCAGTCATGAAATTTGTTCTGGTTGAAAACTAGATGGAAGTTTAATTTGCGGGGAGCCCCTATTCGTTGGTTACTCATCTGCAATGTCCTATTACTAACATGGGTAATTCAAAAGATGATTGATAGACAGGATTATTTGAAGTACGGAGTCTGAAGACACCCAGTTAGCCTGATCCAACAGGTTTTCTTGCTAAATGAGTGTCATAAAAATGAGGAATCCATTGCCTATTCAGCAACTGAACGTGTAGTAGACAATGATACAATCCCTTATATCATTAGTGGGTTGTGCCCGGTTCGGAACGGTTCGCAAGAACCGGTAGTAAAACTGGCAGGAGGCTCCGCCCACTGACCAGGACATCATCATAAGTGATCTGCGCATGCGGGCACGATGCGAACCGGTAGTAAACATAAGTAGAACCCACCCCTGTTCTGGTTGAACAGCAATATTTAGGAGCAGCAATTCTTTTCGCTAAGCAATAAGGTCATTAAGTGAATCATGTGACCGCACCAGGCTTACAACCTCAAAGTCACTAAGAAAAATCACTTGTGGCCAGTAGGCAAGGCTACAGGTAGTCCTCGGCTTAATGACCACAATTTCCATTGCTAAGCAAGAAAGTTGTTAAGTGAGTTTTACCCTGTTTTATGACGTTGCTAAGTGAATCACTTTTTTTCTCAAGTTAGTAACATGGTTGTAAAGTGAGTGGCTTTCCCGTTGACTGTTTGTCAAAAGGTTGCAAAAGATGATCTCCTAACCCCGGACACGGCAACCGTCGTAAGTATGAGCCAGTTGCCAAGTATCTGAATTTTGATAACATCACCGTGGAGAAGCTGCTACGGTCGTATGTGTGGGAAACAGTCATCAGTCACTTTTTTTTTTAGTGCCATTGTAACTGCAAACAGTCACTAAACTGATGGTTGAAAGTCAAGGACTGCCCGTATATGTTTCTGATTATGTGGGAATTGGAATATATTCATGCTCATTCTGTTCCTCCTAAAGAACTCGGGGACATTTAATATTAAAAAATGAAAGCTTTTAAATGTAAAACAATCAGATTTCAGATAGTGCTCTGACCCGGCTGCCAAACACGACAAGCACGCTGTAATTAACTAAACATTCTCTTTATTAGGAGCGCCAGCAGACCCGGCCAAGAGTGTCATGTCCCCTTCTCTCCCCCCCCTTCACTCTCTCCCCCTCTCTCCCTCTCTCTCCCACCCTCACTCTTCCTCTCTCTCACTCTCTTCCTCCCTCACCAGTGGTGGGTTGCCCCCGGTTCACACCGGTTCTATAGAAGTAGTAAAACTGGCAGGAGGCTCCGCCCACTGACCCTGATGTCATGAAAATGCTTCTGCGCATGCGCAGAAGCTTCTGTGCTTGCGCAGAAGAGCACACGAGCAAAGTGCGCGTGCAGCCCCATTGCGAACCGGTAGTAAAAGTAAGTAGAACCCACCCCTGTCCTTCACTCTCTTGTCTTTTTTCAGAAGCCCTGAAAGGTGTGCTCTCTTTTTTTCAGCAGCAGACACACACACACACACACACAAGATGCGCCCAACTCGGAGCCGCAGATTCCAAGAAAGAATTCTGATAAGTTCCAGACAGGATTCAGAAGTTCAGGTTATCAGTGGCTGACGACGGGGAGAAGAATAGTCTGCCACACCTATTTGTCTCCGCCCCTTGCCTTTTATTCCTAGAGCTAGGGTGAGAATTAGCTAGCGGTGACGGCTCGTCCGTCCCGAGGACCGGCCCATAGATTCCCACTGCTCTCCTCTGCCTTCTGTGCATCCGCGTGTCAGGCACTGGACCCAGCTGTTCCTCCTCTTCCTCATCAGCCACCTCCAGACCTTGGGGCTGTTGACTCTCCATCTGAGGGCTGACGGATGGCCCAGGCTCCGCCTCTGTCTCTATCTCTGACAGAGATAGAGACATTCCCTCTGTCATTCCCTCTTCCCCACTCAGAGCTTTCAGATTGCCTTAATGCTGGCCCTGACTCCCACGCCACCTCCTCATCTTTATTTATTTATTTATTAAATAAAAATTATTTAATAATTTTAAATTATTTTAATTGATGTTTGTCTTGTGCTTTTAATAGGCTGTACACCGCCCTGAGTCCTTCGGGAGAAAGGCGGTATAGAAATAAAATTATTCTTATTCTTATTCTCATCTGATTCAGTTGCTGAAGGGGCTGGAGGCCGACAGGCCACAACAAGTAATCCTTGATTTACCACCATTCATTTAACCATCATTTGAAGTTATGACAACATTGGGAAAAAAAGTGATTTGCGACTGGTCTTTACACTTAACAACTGTCACAGCATTCCCGTGGTCACATGATCAAAATTTGGGCATGTATTTGTGACAGTTGCAACATCCTGGGGAATCACACGATCTCCATTTGCGACCTTCCCTGCTGACTTCCAACTAGCAAAGTCTACGAGAGAAGCTGGATTCACTCAATAACCGTGGTGATTCACTTAACAACCGTGGCAAAAAGCTCATAAAATCAGATGTGACTCACTTAACGACTACCTCACTTAGCAATGGATGTTCTGACCCCAAATGTGGTGGTAAGTCGTGGACTACCTCTACAATCAACATAGAACTACCACCACAAACTCAGCAATGTGATATATGCAGTGAGCCATGTGTAGATCTGTACATTGGGGAAACAAAACAACCACTTCATAAATGAATGGCACAACATAGGAGAACAAACCCATCAGGACAAGATTCAGCAGTCCATCTGCATTTGAAAAACAAAAGTTACTTTTCTGAAGACAGCAAAGTCCACGTTCTGGACAGAGAAGCCCACTGGTTTGAAAGAGGTCAAAAAGGCCATCTAGGTCAAAATTGAACAGTCCTCTCTCAACAGAGGGGGAGAGATACAACACCACCCATCTCCTTTTTATAACACAATCCTTTCAGCAGTCCCAAGAAAGTTCCACACTCGTTTGCACTCTGATTCAGGGAATAGATAAACCTCCAAGTGGCTTCAAAGATTCTCAAAAGGAGTACTAACAACCAGATGACTACAAATAATATAAATCCATCCGCCACCATTCAGTCAGAACTGAAGAAGCTTCTTGGATGAGAAGTGAAAGGTCTTCAAGGAAAAACAACGAAAAGTCCCCTTGACCTTTGGAAAAAGCACCTTTGGGACTGCTGATTAACCAATTTGCTTGCGCCCCAATAAAATGACCCTGCAGAGTAACATTTGCATTGTTATTAAAGGCCGCCATTTTTTTCTGAAGAAAATAAACCCAACGTTGGTATTTATGGTACTTTTCAGAGTATAAAAAGCACTTCCCCCCCCCCAAAAAAGCAGGTGGAAATGTCTGTGCGTCTTGTATAGCAAATGTTGCCAAAGCCCCACCCACCCGCCGGCCCCCACCCTTCAGCCTCTGCCTCCCAGCAATTTACCTCCTTGCACCAAACAGCATGATCAGTTTCACCACAGCCTAATTTAGCACAAGCAGCTGATTGGCGGTTGGATCAGCCTCCTGGAATACTGACTATCAGCTGGTCTAGGCTGCGGGGATCACCAGTGGCGCCCATCGCCGCTGTCACCTATTGCCGCCTCCGCATGCCCCATTTTTGGGTCTATGCATCCCATTTTCAGCCCATTCCAGGTGGCGGAGTTAGGCAGAAGCGGCCTGGTACGGGCCGAAAATGGGATGCACAGAGGCCAAAAATGGGATGCTGTTTGCTGCAAGGAGGCAAATTGCTGGGAGGCAGAGGCAGATTTTTTTTTCCCCCTTGTTTTCTTCCCCAAAAGCTCTTATACTTCGGAACGTCTTATAGTCCGAAAAATACGGTAAATTACACAGGTTTTTCCACGCTGCAGTCACCGTCCATTATGTGCCTTACAGTCACAAACATCCTTTCTCAAGTACGGAAAGCATCGATGACAGGAACTAAGAGGATTTTAAAAGGGGGGGAAAAGTCAGGCGGCGAATAAGTCTGTGGTGATTTTTTTTTTTATCACTTAGTTTTCCACACGAATGCCTTGCCCTTTATTTAGGCTCATTAAGCCGACACAGCCATAATATGGAGGAGTTAATCGCCATTGTTCCTATGCCTCTGGGAAGAGGCAGAATAATTTTTTGTCTTTCAAGCAGAGGAAACCAGAAGGGAATTCAGATAGGATGGGTCTTCGTGGTGAATCTCCAACAAATATTCGAGAGGTTCAGGAGACTTTTTTTTTATTATTATTATTCAGTCACTAAGTTGTGTCTGGCTTTTTTGGAGACCACATAGTTGGTCTCCTCCGGGTCCTGTCAGGTAAACAATGCCGGCTGGCGGGCCCGCGGGGGAGGGCCTTCTCTGTGGCTGCCCCAGCTCTCTGGAAGCAGTTACCTCCTGAGGTCCGGACCATCCCCACCCTATTGGCCTTCCGAAAAGCGGTGAAGACCTGGCTTTTCCGGCAGGCCTGGGGCCGTTGATCTCGCTTTGCGATCTGACGAGATCCGGCCATGAATGGTGTGAATGGGTTTTTAATTGTTTTTAATGGTTTAACTTTTAATG